GTTTCTTTTCCGACCCCTGTGCGACCTTGAACAGAATTGTGCCATACGCGGTTGAATATACCGACGTGTACTTTCTATGTTGTAAACGCCAAGCAAATGCGCATAATGCTCGTCTTATTCGAATCCATACGAGAAAACTGTTGCTGTATTACCACTGTCGCCCAAGAAAATTCTTTGAACGGGTGCAGCGATACTAGAATCTCAAATGATTTCAATTAACCGAATTGGTAGCACGTCTCGCCCACAATAAACTGGGATCTTTATAAAAATTTAGAAAACAGATTGGTTTGTTGAATAATAATTTTTATACAAACTCAGCACCAGAGATCGAGAATTTAAGTACTTAGATACATGTATACATGTATATCTTACATCTAACTAACGTTTCCCTCATAACGGTTCCCAGAACCGAAACCGATATCGCAACTGTTTCCAACCCTTGCTCAGAACTAACCCAAAACGTGAAAGGGTCGTTGGAAAGGCCGGAACTATCTACAAAGCTTTAGTTCAATATCTTGTAAACCGATAAAAACACGTATTCAAAATTTGACACGCAGAGAGAGAGAGAGAGAGAGAGAGAGAGCCAACTCTCCCGTCGTCCCCTTATCTCTTAAAAATTTCAGTTCATTACAGCGGGAGGGAGGGTCGTAGAGAGTGCTACAGCTCCGAATTGGCCTGTGAACGGCTGATACCCTCGATGCGACTCTTATCGGGTAGTATCAGTTTTCAGGACCGCGACGACTCTAAGGAAGAAAACCATCATCGATAAAGTCGAGCGAGGAGGATGACGATGATGATGGTTTTGTGACGAAGAAACAACGTTGGAACAGGGAAAGAGGAAAAAGTCGGTTATTTTCCCATCGACAAGAATTTCCAAACGACAATTGATTCAAAGTACACCGCACTCGGTGTAATGTCCACACGTTGGGAGCGGGGTACTTCTGGCCGCGTAGTGTATAGAGAAAGGCAGGGGTGCCAGCGTAACGAACGGCTCTGTAGTCGTGCAGACAAATTCATTCGAGCCAGCATTGGCAGCGTGATATCTTTCTATGGGGGCTATTTTCTCATCAATCCCAATCGCTTTTATGAAACGTGACTCACGCGTGAAAAGGTCCGCACGCCTTTGGCGAATTCGACGCTGCTGTTCCCCTGGTACCCCACATGCGCGCGCGCGCGTTCGCCCGCCTTCTCTTTCTCGCGTCTGCGCACTCTCTGTCTCTCGTTCGGTCACTCTCCGACAAGAAAAGAAAAATAAAAAAAAAAGAAGACAAAAAGAGAGAAACGGTAAAGAGAAGAAACGAAATTCTCTCGGGCTAGAACGCGCGTATCACGAAAACGAGCTCGGCACATACCCTAGAACTGCGCGCTTTCTTTCAGATCGGAGGAATCCTAACCTCTACCACCGTGGATAAAAGGGCAGATTTTCTATGGCGAAAGTTTTGTTCGCCCACGGGGAAAACTAGCCGAGGATGAGAAGCAGCTACTGTCCAACTTCGCGATCCTAACAATAACCGCCTCGGCTCCTTTTCTTAGCGATATTCTTCCGTAATACTCTGGCCGACGAATTTGTTTAACCCTCACCCGGCGGTGGCCGGGTCGACTTTGACCTGGAGTATTCAAATTGCCGAATTTTCGGCGATTAAATGAAATGAATTGCTGTTATATCGGAGACGACGGAAAAGCCAATGAATCTGCAAGAAATATTTTCGAGAATACGTTTGAAAATATCGACGAAGCTCAGAATTGTTCTACGTCGTCGATGGTAATGGTACGCCGTCGGACGGTCGAACGGAAATTTAAAGATCGACCGACTGGAAATGGAACTTCCCCACCTGTCGAATCGCGTATCGACTGTACCCCCCCGTGAATTAATTTCGCGAGACGCGATCGCTCGCTGTAAGCATTTCGATCGGCGCAAACTGTTCGAAAGTATCGAATTTCATAGGCGCAGCAGCAGCAGCCTGTATTAATTCGAATCTCGTTGTAAAAAGCGTCGAATCTCGTTGAGAGATTCGGAGAATTCTTTCGGGTATGGAATTTTTCAGGCTGTCAGCCGTGAGAGACTCGAAGAAACGACGGATTCGCGAAACATATGCTGGACGAAGGTTTTTTTGCACAGCTCGGAACTGACTGTCGGGGAGAGAGAGAGAGAGAGAGAGAGAGAGAGAGAGAGAGAGAGAGAGAGAGAGAGAGAGAGAGAGAGAGAGGCG